CTCTAGTAAATTGCTTGTGGCTTGTGTGATCCTCATCTTGTGTTGGTTGTGCGGCACCCTATTGAGGGTTTGGCGAGTGATGCCAATCAGCGCGTGAACCTCCAAGTGAGTGAATCGCCACAATGAGGACTAGCTTGCCGGCAAGCAAGTGAACCTCGATAAAAATCATTGTGTTCATCATTTGATTCCGAGGTGATTGGTCTACATTGGTATTTATTATTGTGATTGATTGGTTCATACCACTACACGGCGGTATAACTCTCTTGCTCACTCTTAGATTACCGCAAACTATTTATCAAGCTCTTTAGTGTAGCTAGTTGTGAGAGCTTGTTTGTTTGATTAGTGTTGCTCTTTAGTTAGTATTTGAGAGCACACTAATTTAGCTAAGTGTCATAGCTATTGTGTGGACATACACTATTCAAAATAGAATTAAGGTAGGTGGCTTGCATTTTAGTAGGCTAGCGCAACACTCGCTTCGCCGCAAAATTGTCTAACACATTTTGTTAAGTGTTGTTGTAGAATTTTATTAGGCTATTCACCCCCCCTCTAGCCATTAGGACCTTTCAACCTCTACTGTGGCTACAGCGCGACAGGTAAGCCTTTTATCGTATGTGTCTATCGTAGCTACAGTGCAACAGCAGAGGAGCCCTTTCAACGTCTATTGCTATGCATACAGAGAAAGAGCAGCCGATTACTTTACAGAAACCTGCTGGTGAAACGTTGCGGTCATTGACCCAAGCATAGTACTAGGCAGTAGTAGTACTAGTAGGCTAGCAGATTACTAGCTACTATAGCATCTTGCAGGACACGACAGCACTTGTATATATGGATGAAAACGGTACGGATATTTATTTGATCGTTCATTCGATCGAACAAATATGAACACTTATCTAGATAGTTACTTGGATATCCGTAATTTTTTTTTGATACGGATAATAAAATGGATATCTTAGGCGGATATCAAATACGAATGTAATATCATCGATATCCGGCGGATATCGGATAATCCGGTTAAGTATCAGATATATCCGGATATTATTCAAATGGATATTATCCGGATATTATTCAAACGACCTTGGATGGAGAAATGATCAAAATAAAAATTATAGATCTCAAAAAGTTATGAAACTTTGTTGTTTATAACTTTTTCATTTGAAATCATTTAGTGCTTCAAAATGCTATTTGAATTTCAATTTCGAAATGGTTAAAGAACGTCTATTTCTCTTTTTAATCTTTGACTAAAACTTGTAACTAGTTTTTCTCCCTTGTACTAACTTCAAATTTGATAATTTTTTTTTCTAAAATTTTCTAAAATCATGTTCTATCAATTTATTGTGTTCTTATAGCTATTATTGTGTTCATCTTTTCATGTGACTGTATTCTATCTATTTGAATTTTGAATTTCAAAAAATAGCAACTTCAAACGTCATTTTCAAACAATAAATGACTTCAGCTGAAAAAAGTCATGAACATAAAAGTTGTAAAACTCATCCAGATCTACAACTTTTATTTTGGTCATTTGTTCATCCGAGATTATGGTAGTAACATTATTCATAAAATTTACATCTCTCTCTGGTAGTTTCATAAACTTAAGAGATGTATGAGATTCATGAATAATGTTACTACCACTATGTCGGATGAACAAATGACTAAAATAAAAGTTATAGATCTCAGAAATTTATGAAACTTTATAGTTGAAAATGTTTTTATTTGAAATTATCTTGTCAAGGAAAACTACGTTTGAATTTCTCAAATTTAAAATTTGACTTTTTCAAATGACCTCGGAATCTCAGATGGAGAAACAACCAAAATAAAAGTTTTAGATCGCAAAAAGTTATGAAACTTTGTTGATTACAACATTTTCATTTGAATTTGTTTAGGGCCTCAAACAATAATTTTTTGCCTTTTTTGTTTTTTTATCTCGAATTTTGATTTTTGGAATTAGGCCAAAATATTACTTCTTGCCCAAACGGCCCAATCCTCTATAACCCTAGCTAAGCTAGCTGGCCCATATATAAGTTCCCACTTAGATATATATATATATGCTGCTTTTACTCAATATCCGAATAGATATTTGTATCCGACCTTCTCCGAATCCGATTCATACCGTATTCGATACTCATTATTCGTATCCGTAACCAAAGTCAATCCGTATTCGTATATGTATCCAAACGCTAGCGGTGTCCGAATTTAAATTCAAACAGAAATATGAAAACAAATATAATATAAGTGATATCCGTTCGTATCCCATCTTTTGTCATCCATACTTGCATGACGACGAATTGACAGTACTTGTGCGGGAGGGAAAAGGGAAAGGAGATCCACCAACCTGTGGCCGCGGCAGTCTGGCAGAGGAGGGCGGGCCGGCGTACGTCGCGCGCGAGTGTCAACGAAGCAATGGATTGAGTTGGGCAGAGATGCGGACGAACGTGACGTCTCGGCATGGCATCTTGAGTTGGAACAGGAGCCGTGCTCGTCAGCAGGGTCGGCGAGTCCAAGGTCCCCGTGCGGTCGTGCTCGTTGCATGTCGTCGCTCCCATCTCGCTCCTCTGACTCTCTTGCAGAATCAGTGCATGAGTCGCGGAGGATCCCAGGCCGGTATCAGCTTGTTGCATACAGTAGGCGTCAACGGGGTTGGCAGCAGCAGCACTGCACACCTGTGCAACAGTGGTGGACTTTTGCTCCGTCTGCGTTTTCATGCCAAGGTGGGGTTGAAGGGGCGGCCGTCTTTGGGTGCGCTCGCAGTCGCAGGGCAGCTGTGGCTACTCTGGCAGATGGCGCTGGATGGCCCCCGCTGGTTGGCTCGCTCCGGCTGCAGTGCCATAACGTCGAGCACCTCGTGTGGCAGGTGACCGAGACGGCGTCCAAGAAATCACGAGCGGGATGAGAGGCAGGGTACTGCAAGGTCGCTAGCTTATTCTCTGAGACCACCGGCAGAGGCGGAGCTCCCCATACGGCAGGGTGGGGCAGCTGCCCCACCTACCGTCGGCGGAAGCACCTAGTACCCCTGGCTTCTTCCTAAGGCGTGGCGTTCGACCTCCGACGGCACAACACATTGTTTGGACAGGATCTAGAGCCGCATGAGCGAAGGCCAAAGGCCCAATACAAGAATAGAGCCCATTAGCACAGCATCAAGGAATCACCTAGCTCTTGATCCCCGATCCCCCGACCCTGTCAGTTCATCACCGCGACGTGCATCAGGCCGCCGCCGCGCGGCCCTTAGTGCGCTGCTGCCAGTACCGCCGCCCCTTGCTGCCAGTGCCGCCGCCCCTTGCCGCGACAGCCTTCAAGGTTGCAGGCTGCCGCTCGCCCATACCTATTCTCTCAGCGGCTCAGTGCTGTAGTGCAAGGGAAGGGCAGCAGCCAGCTGGTTACGGAGAACGGGGTTGGAGATGGTGAAGGTGAGCATGTGAGATTTTCCTTGTATCGTGTAATTGAGATTAGTTCTTTAATAGTAGGTTAGTGGTATGTCTCCTTATTGTATAGTGTGTGTTTAGATGTATTATCACATATAATTATAATTAATTACATGCTAACTGCTTTGTTATTATTCAAATTTACAAGTTTTTTAGCTTTTGGATAATTGGATTTTGGACTCTTGTTTAGTTGGTGTTTGTTGAATCAATAGATTATATTAAGTTCATAAGGAGAGGTCCCGTCTTCAATTAATCTTTAAATTTGTCATATATTAGATATTCATGTGTGTTCGTAGGATGTGATTAAAAATTTGTGTCCGTTGTTCGCCCCACCTAAATTTCCAGCCGAGCTTCGCCACTGACCACTGGTGAGAGGAGAATGGGTAGGGAAGAAACCCGATGTGGCGCGCGGCGGCCGCTCGGGCGGCACGACAGCAATAAGCAATTGCCGACAACCGGCGTGGTCGCCGCGTGGCGAAGTGGTAACACGAGGAAAGAGAGCCCCCACCCACCAGGCTATCTATATAGTGTTAGGCCAGAAAAGTCACCGGAGGTTGGCCCATCGCTCGCCCTGTTCCTTTTGGATGCTTATTACTAGGCCCTTTCGGCCCATCCATAAATCCAAGCCTTCGGGCCTCCTTCTATGTTTTCGGCCCGGTTCCTTCTCGCTGGTCTGGCCAATGTTGTGTTAGGTCCTCTCGATATTTAGGGATTCTTTGGATTTGCAGGATTTTTTCTCCGTTGCTGTGTTTAAAATAAACCGATTTTTGTGAAATTCCTATATAATTTTTATTAAATTTCTGTGTTCCAAAGGGACCTTAGAGATCTGGTTGAACAAATCTCTATTACAGAAAATTTTAAGTGTCTATCTTATATGCTCGCCTCATTACAAAGCCGTCTCAATTAGAATCTTTGTAGTAACTTTACATACAAAAATTTGTCTACCTAGCAACTGAATGTTTTGGAAGCTTCTGGCAACTGATTTTTGCTCTTGCATTTACAATGTCTTTAAGCAATATTTGCAATGTCTTATTACTATATTTACATAGATTTATTGGACAGAGTGATGTAATTTGAGGATAACACATATGGATTGCAGATATAAAGAAATATATGTCAAATTATTCACAATTATTCACAAATTTAAGAAAAAATTACAAATTGTTCACAAATTACGAACGGGAGGGGGCCGCGCCCACACCTGCGCAGGGGACTCCAGCGGAGGGAGCAGCGGCCAGCCTGGGGGCGGTGGGAGGACGAGAGGGCATGGCCGAAGGCGGAGATGCCGGAGCGGGAGGTGAACGTGAGTGTGGAGAGAGCAAAATCAACCGGGTTTCTGTTAGCAATTCTCGAGAAGAAAGAAAAATTCTAGCACCAGCCTTTTCTTATCAACATCTACCTCGGAGCATGTATTTTATTTACCTCTTCTCCATATATGTATATGTTTACAAAGAAAGACCGAAGAGAGAGACATTTCGTTTACCGCGGTCATATATACAAAGCCGACACACGTATACACAAGATACAGATACCATATGTTCTCAAAGACTGATGAGAGTCTGTGACAAGAAGGCAGAAAACATCTTAGTAGGTGGTGGTGAGTGCTGAAGGCAGCATGTTCTCCCGGACGACGGTGACGGGGCAGGCCGCGTGGTTGACCACGTAGGTGCTGACGCTTCCCATGAGAACCCTCTTAACCGTGCTGAGGCCTCTGTTGCCGACGACCAGCCACTGCAGGGGCACCTTGTGGACGGCCTCCGTGAGCTTCCTGGCGGGGTCGCCCCACAGCACCTTGGCGAAGACGTGGACACCTCTCTGGGCGGCGGCCCGCGCGAGGACCTCCAGCGTCTCCCGGTCCGGCGCCACGCCATAGATGTTGCCCACCCGGGGGTCCGACAGCTCCACCAGAGGGATCAACGCTGGGAATGAAGCAACATGTTCTTAGGCTGCATGAGGACGATGAAGAGAGAACAATGGCGACAGACAGACAGACATACTGTATACGTACGTGATCCATCGTGCTCCCAGAGGTGCGCCACCCCTTGCTCGTACTGGTACGAGGTCTTGACGTGGATCAGGATCAGCCGGTCGCCGGGGGCCGCCAGGTTCGCCGCCACCCACCGCAGCGCGTTCTTGCTGCACGACGAGAAGTCCACCGCCACGCCGATGTTCCTCCCGGTCCCGGCCATGCGGACACGCGGCCACCTAGCTAGCTTGTTCCACTTCAGCTTCGAGAAGAGAACTACTGTATGTGTAACACGCTTAGCAAGTAGTAGGACTGTACGAGTGTAGCTACCAAGGTTATCATCATCAGATCTTATATATATAGACGGCTCAGCAGCCTCAACGAAAGTCGATGAAGCAGCGTCTTGTTTGTGTGCTTCATCCGTTCTTTCAGGATTCCTTACCGGCGTTTCTAGTCGGATCCCGCGGCGACGTACGTGGTTCGCCGATCCCAGCGCCAGCGGGATTGCGGAGTTGAGGATCGGATGAGCTGAGAGTTGCGCAAAAGTGGCCGCAATCTAAAGACGGGGGGAGGAATCGGATTCTGCACTATGCGTGTGTACGTGCTACTCGCACTGTGTTAGTATATAGCTTTACTGATTAAATTACATGCATCTTTGTTAGCTTTCAGCAATGAGAGATCGCCGTCGCATGAATCTGCCCGGCTCCGCTCACACGAAAATTAAGCATGGAAACCAAGGATCGATCGTTGCACTTTATTTTGCTCCGTGTTACGGATAATCTGAATCGAATTATTACACTCCTGACTCCCCACCGGTTACCAATGCTTTTTGAGAGGTTTAGTTTAATTTGTCAATAGTTATAACGATACATTTAAAGTTTAATTATATATAAACATAAGAAAACAAACGCATAGATTCTCCTTCAAAAGTAATTTTGTGATACCGTACAAACTACTGCATGCATGTTACATACTGTCATACTTACATTGTTACCTCTATATATCATCATCGTCATCACCACACTATAAAAGAGCGAGTTTTTTTAAAAGGGCTTTTCCTTTATAATAACCGTTTGATTTATAAAAGAGCGAGTTTTTTTAAAAGGGCTTTTCCTTTATAATAACCGTTTGATTTAGGCGTCATGCTATATGAGCTCTCCGTCATCCAAGATCTTACATGTAAAATGTAAGATTCCTCCTAAGCCAAGATTCTCCCTAAATCCCAATCCCTTACTCTGATAATCCTGTAATCTCAAGATTCCTCGTAAACCTCGTGATCCCGTAATCTCACGCTAACTCTTCCGGTAACCTCCTTTGGCTCTTGGCTTCATGTCGAGCGTGCCCGTCCAAAGCTGGGACTGAAGTCGGGTCTCGGAGACCGTGACGTGACAAACAGACCCGCGAGAACGACCGAACATAATAATCACATATAGGCCGGTTCACGTCATGGGTCCGAACGAATCCAACGAGCTAGCATGCCCGGGAATTCTAGCCGTCTATCGCTTGCCTTTATTAGCATGTTGGCACGTTACATCTTTGGACTCTTGGTTTTATTACTTGTTTCGATCGATTCAGTTGTGATCCGTGGAGATCCAATGAGTTGCAGTATCTTGAAAATATGTGCATGCGTGCATGTGTATGTGCAGGAGTTCCGAGCTTCCGGCCACATGATGCGCCGCCGGCTGGTTGATCGCCGCTCTGTCTGTTATGTCTCGGTGTTGGTGTTGGGCCGCTGCCTTGCATGACTCGTTCGGCGGCCACCACTACTGGAAACGCGTGCTTTGCTGAGGACATGAGGCTTTGCCGAGGACCAAATCTTGAGCACTCGGTAAAGACACTCTTTGCCACTCTTTGCCGAGGGCCAGCCACAGGAGCCCTCGGCAAAGAACGGCCCTCGGCAAAGATAGGCCCACGGCAAATCAAATCTTTGCCGAGGGCCCGCGGCCCTCGGCAAAGATGTCCTCGGCAAATTAGGCCCATTGGGTTACGGCGGCCATTCCCCGTCAAGCTTTGCCGAGGGCCACCCGTTAGGCCCTCGGCAAAGGTTTTTTTCTTCATGAAACCAAGTTATTCGGCAAATTTTTTTTAAGTCTTGCCGAGGGCCCTAGACCAGGCCCTCGACAAAGATTTTTTTAAAACCAGTTTTTCGACCAATTTTTTTTTATATATCGCCTTTGCCGAGGGACCGAGGCTAGGCCCTCGGCAAAGAAGCCCTTTGCCGAGGGCCAGGATAGGCCCTCGGCAAAGATTTTTTATTTTTTTTAAATTCTTTGCCGAGGGCCACGGGCCAGGCCCTCGGCAATTTTTTTTTGGTTTTTTTAGTCCAGTTTCTTTTGTGGTGTTACAATACATTGTTTTGAACTCAATTTTAAAATTTAGGCCAATTTTGATTTTGTTTTGTATATTTCCTTAATTTATTTTGATTCTTTGATTTTTTTTCGAATATGTCAAATTTGAACTGCAGGTGCATGGAATATTGCAATGTAGTGTTTCGAAAAATGTTATTCATGTTAATTGGTGCATGTTGAGTCCCTATCCACGAACTCGCATCAAATTTTCACGCATCTTGTTCGCGTAACATGACGACCGACTTGCCGGAAAAGTGTTTTAAAATTATATAAAATCCATACGAAGTTCGAAAATCATGAAACTTGGCGAGATGTCATGTTATCGCATGTGTAGGCTGTGGTAAAAAATTGAGAAGGCTTCGAGCGAGTTGCGACGTCGGATGCCTGAAACCCAGACATCTCCACATGTGATGTCATGTTATCCACATGGAGATGTCTGGGTTTCAGGCATCCGACGTCGCAACTCGTCAACAATTTTTACCACAGCCTACACATGTGATAACATGACATCTCGCCAAGTTTCGATTTTCAATTTTGAACTTCGTATGGATTTTATATAACGCTAACAAGATGCGTGAAAATTTGATGCAGTTCGTGGATAGAGACTCAACATGCACCAATTAACATGAATAACATTTTTCAAAGCACTACATTGCAATATTCCATTCACCTGCAGTTCAAATTTGACATATTCGAAAAAAATCAAAGAATCGAAATAAATTAAGGAAATATACAAAACAAAATCAAAATTGGCCTAAATTTTAAAATTGAGTTCAAAACAATGTATTGTAGCACCACAAAAAAACTGGGCTAAAAAACAAAAAAAATTGCCGAGGGCTGTTTGCCGAGGGCCTGGCCCATGGCCCTCGGCAAAGAATTAAAAAAAAAATAAAAAATCTTTGCCGAGGGCCGTGGATCTAGGCCCTCGGCAGAGGACCGAACCCTAAAAAAACGTTCGACCATCTCCCTCCCCACGCGCCCGCCTGGCCGGCACCTGCTGCTCCACCACCACCGCCGCCAGACCCGACACATTGCCTTGCTGTGCCAAGCACAGGCTGCAGGCTGCCTGAGCCCGCCGCCAGCCACTGCCAGCCACCCGGCCGCCCCCAGCCCACCCTGCCGCCGCAGCCCCGCCACACACCCACCTTGCCCCTGGCCACCCCGAGCCCAGCAGCCCTGGTGCCCAGCCGCCAGGCCACCACCGCCCACACACACTGCCTGCGCCCACCGCCCCAGCTGGCCGCCTGCCAGCCTGGCCGCCGCCCCCACCACGCCCAGTGGCGGCCGAGGTCGCGCCCTGCCTCCGTTCCCCGTCTCCGTCGAGCAAGGGGAGGTCGACCGCCCCGGCCGGCCCTCCGGCGGCTCCCCCTCACCGGCCTTCCCGCCCCGACCCCAGCCCCTAGGCCGCCCCCGTCGCTGGCTGTTGTTGGAGGGGAGGAGGCAGAGGGTGAAGTTGGAGGAAGAAGAGAAGGAGAAGAGGAGGAGGAAGGGGAAGAAAAGGAGAAGAAGAGGAGAAGGAGGAAGGGGAAGAGAAGGAGAAGAAGGGGAAAAGGAGAGAAGAAAGGGAAGAGGGGGAGAGGAGTACTCCAACGCCACTCGACCTCGCCGGAGAAGAAAGTGACCCCCGCACCGCGACGCCCGACTCCACCGCAACCCTAGGTAAAACTCTCGTTGTCGGCCTTCGTGCCGTATGTGGTTGTGTGGGCCTTCGTGCCGTAAGTTGATATGAGGGCCTTTGTGCCGTTGTGGTTGTCGGCCTTTGTGCCGTTGTGAATGTCGGCCATCGTGTCGTTTTTTTGCAGGTTTTGGAAACCTCCCCGTGCAGGGGAGGTGCTGCCAAAATTTTGAACAAAAAATAACCTATTGTCTTTTTATGCAGGAGAAGAGTACGTCGGAGGGGACCCGGAGGACCCCGATGGTCTTCATCGATGTCGCGGTTTTGCCTGCACTGCGTCGCCTCACCACTACGTCGATTCGCCACTGCCCTGCTAGCCTTACTTCACCGACACCCTAGGTATAAATAACCTCTTTTTGTGCATGTCTGTCGTAGCCCGCGCGTAACCAAGTTAGGGCGCTCTCCGTCCAAAAGAGATACGGTCGTAGGTATGTGAATCTTTGCGTATCTTCGACCGTATCTGTTTCGGATTGTCCACGTTTTTTGGATAGCCCGTGGATGCGTAGATGGGTTAGTTTCCATGGTCCGCTCCGGTCCGAGAAGGAGTTTCGGCAACACCTCCCTGTTGTTCTCCGGATACACACTCTCCCTTGCAGGACGTGTATCGGGAGAACAACAGGGAGGTGCTGCCGAAATTCTGTCTCGGAGAGGAGCAGAGCATGGAAACTGACCTCATCTACGCATCCACGGGTGGGGTTAGGACCTATCCTCACCTATTAGATAGTAGGAACACCGCGTAGATGCAATTGATGGTCACAATACTCTATGCTATAAATGTTAAAGGATGGAGGACCGTCAGTGGATGTACACGGGCTGGAGAAGCGGGAGTGACTACGACTATGAATGGGTGAAGGGGATAGATGGTTTCTTGAAACATGCATTTGGCCCAGGGGTAGGAGGACATTCTCTAGTTTGGTGTCCCTGCAGCAAATGTGACAACAGGAGAAAAGTAGACGAGAAGACCATGGGTAGACATCTTGTGTTCAATGGTTATACGCCTAGCTACCAGCAGTGGATCTACCATGGTGAAGCAGATTGTATAAGAGCGGAGGTGGTGAGAGCACGCCTCGAGGCTTTTGATGATGATGCCGGGGTAGCAGACATGCTAGATGACGCCCACCAAGCTCACTTCGCTGAACGACGTGAGAAGGAGGAGATGGAGGAATCCGCGAAGGACTTCTACAAAATGTTGGACTCGGC